GTTTGTCTGTGCCCTGGGTTTACCCTTTGAAGTCCGGATCGTGTCATGACGTGGATCCAGCCGGTGCTGAAGTTTGACAGGCCTGGAGGTCCACAGCTGGACTGAGAGGACCTGCCCTAAACACCTGGACAGGTGAGTGAGCTCATCATCCAGGTAAAGCTGGCTGTTTCAAGCAGGGCTGTTCTGGCTGAAGTCCAGTGAAACCTGCTTCTCCTTCCTGGTTAACCCACTTTCTTTAAGATCAAGTTCAAAGAACTAATCTTACCTTCCTCCTTTCCTTAAACTACCTGCAAACGTTCTGCTTTATCGAACATCTGAGCCTGAACTTTTACTCTTTCTAAAGTTGTTGTATTTAATAATTAAATCAGCTCAAGACGTGTGCTTGATTGTTGTTAAATCTTAAACTTTTATAGGAAAACTGATGACTCATAAATAAGTTGTTCACTCATAATTTGTTTAATTGTGTAAATAAATGATGTTTGTTGCTGCATCAAATCACTGAGTTACGTCACTCAGTGTGTTGTTGTTCACTTTACACAGAGCAGAGATTTCCTTCAAATAACAGAAMCCTCGGTAAATAATTTCCTTATAGTGTTTGTTATAAGAGATAGAAGTGACTCTTTGTCATATTTGCACATATTTTACACKTTTAAATGGAGGCATGTCAGAGGAGTCACGTGTGCTCAGTCCCATGTTTGTTGGGCTGTATGAATGAAAGAAGAGCAGAAATACTYTCGCACTTAGATACTTCTGAATATTTCTGTGTGTTAGTATGAAAGCTACATACTCTGATACATGAGGCCCCTGGATCTTGTGTGTAAGTTAAAYGATACCAATGAAATATAGTTTGGCTCAGCTTCACGTACATCCTAAGCTTTGTAACGTCTGATCCCTCCAACTCTGGAGGTGTTCAGGGKAGAGACGTCCAGCAGGTGTGGGGATAGAAGAGGAATTTCTAAAATACTGGCAGAAAAAGTAAGTTCATAAGAGAACGGTCTTTTATAATGATTTATTACAGCAGGTCACAAGTTCAGCACAATACACAGAGCCTGTAAACATGAACTGCAAAACCAAAGCTAACAGTTAACTACGAGCCAGTTACCTTTCAGGAAGMACACAGGATGCATGAACACAAGACCCAATCGACTGAAGCAACTGCTGACTGCACAGTTTACCAACTAAAACACAGACCTTATGATTTAGTGGTCAAATAAAATTAGAAATTAGTCCTAATACCCTTTTTATTCACAAATATCAAATGTTCTTTTGCATTCAGTCATAACAAAGTAATTTTCCCACAAGCCCCCAGCTGAGTGCCTCGGTGCTGGAGTTCCCTGGTTAAGCTGCAGGTGAGAAGGTTCTGATTGTACTGATAGACCGATCACCAGTCCAGACCTCCTGATGGTGTACTGGAACGGTGCCATCTTGGAATTCCATTGTTATCTTGAGTTATTGAGTGCTCATGTGGAGATGATTAGGAGTAACATTGYATCTGTAGTTGATCTGTTGTCTTGTTTACTGTGTGAAAAAAGATGAGGTAGACAAATATTGATGGCTGGAAGATTTATTAGAACAATCTTAATTCATGTTTCGTTTCAGACAGCCTTACAACTGTAGGAGATACTCCAACATAACTTCTCATATTTAACCTAATTAATATCGACTAATATTAATATAGTTAATATATGAGGAAACGAGTTCTTTTATTAGTTAAATATTAATATTCACCATCACTTTTATTATCACCAAGACTTGACAATGAGTATCGTAGTCAATAAAGTTTATCTAAAAATAAATGATATTTATTTTTGGGGCGGCTGTGGCGGAGTGGTTAGGGGAGTCGTCCTGGAACCGGA